GCCGACATCGTCGGCTGGAATTTTATACTCTTGTTTGGCTAAATATTTTGGTTCGGTCTGATCTGCATATGCACCACCACAAAGTGGAGTCTGTGCTGTCAGTTTTCAAACATCCTGCTTCATCTCGTCCAGGAGAACACCGCCGGCCAGAAGGCCACCTCAGTACATTGAGGACTGACTCCAGAGACAGGGTGTCACATGCTAAACGTGTTAATGACTTACAGGAAGTGGGTCAATGCAAAGCCTGGGACTTTCCAGGCACACAGACGTCATGTTAGTAGAAGGCTAATGAGCCCAGCAACAGGCCTCAGTGACATTTTACTTGAAGCTCTCGTCTGTAATGCATTATAGATACTGTGATAATGCATTGTAATGGTTGGTATAACACTTAATAAAGCATTACAGCATCTTCTATTGACAGTCATAAGGCATTATAGTGCTGATTATACGACAGGGGGTGCAGGGGCTGGTGGATCAGTCTGAAAGTGAGGGTGGTGACATGTTTTGAGTCATTGCCCACAGTTGCCGAGGTGGGCGTGAGACCCGACGGCCCCCACAACGGCCCTTCTCGCATAGGGTCTGGTGGTAGGTTAAGGGTCTGGCCTTCACTGTACCGATCCCTGTCCCCTCTGTCTCTGATCAAATAAACATAGGGCTTATCGGCCACGTGCCTGAGACGGGCGTTTATTTAAAGAACTGCAGGGGAGAAAAAGAGAGAAAGATGTGAACTCATCTGTTGCTATGCCAGAGGTGGTTTCTTGCTTGTTGCCATAGAAACAGCAGCTCGCGCTGTCCTGTGCCTCTGTTTGTGTGTGCGTGTGCTCGCATTCATGCATGGACAGCGATAGGGGATGCATACAATGTACCAAGGTGCTCAGAAGCCCCCCCCCCACCGAACCCTGAGCCATACAAACAAATGGGCTTATGATCACCATGACAACAAGCACAAAGCCACAATGTTGTCCTCAGTAAACGTGCTTTAAACCAGGGATTTGTAAACGGCTACATGCCGAGATTGACAGTGACAAAGTTAAAGGCACAAAGAAAAGCCTTTAAACAGACTGTTCACGAGAGGCATCGAACACGTAAAGGCGAGTGAACTGGTGACAGCTGTGAGGACGCAACGTATATTTGATGTGGGAAGCAGAGGAAAAAATGGAGCGTGAGACTGTTGGAAGTCTTGCTCCCTCTAGTGGGTGAAACTGGCAGCACAGCTGACATAGACCTAAAGAGCAAGATCTTACACACACACACACATCACACTGCATACTGAGGCTCTGTGTTTCTCCTCTACCACTCCTCTACCACTTCCTGTCCCCACTTTGGTCCTCCAGTGATCTTACCCTTTTGTCTCCATCCATCACCTCCTTCCTTCTCTCCATCCCATCTGCCTCCTTGTTTCTCCTGACTCATGTCATCCCCCAGTCTCGCTGGCAGGCTTGGGTCCATGGAGTCACACTGTTGTTATTTATATCTATAATCAGATGGAATCCTTTGGTAAGCATGGGGGCTCAGGGGCTGCCAGTATGGCTTCACACCTGCCAGGGCTGCAGGTTCAGCTTGCACCTCTGGCTCTGTGCCTCTGGAGTCTGCATGTTCACGCGGGTTTCCTCAGGCTTCTCAGCATGTGGCCGTTAGGGAGTGTGCGCACATGTGTGCATGTGCCCTGCGATGGGCTGGCGTCCTGAGGACCGGTTCCGGCTTCACTGCAACCCTGTACTGGGTAAGTGATGATGAAAAATGGGCAGATAGATTACGACTTTATAATAACAGTGTATTGTAATTTTCTGCGGGTTACTCTAAGTAAACGTGCCTGTGAAATAGAGCCCTTCACGCTCTCGCGCGTCCCTGTCTCGTCCCGGGCTGCAGAGCTGCCTCTGAGATGACGGAGGTGGAGCCGGTGTTGGATTTTGCCTCGTCGGGTCGCTCAGGCCGCCGGAACGCCCTGCCGGACATCTTGGGCTCGCCAGCGGGAGTCAGCCCCTCAGATCTGCCGCTCAAGCTGGCCGAGCTCTCCCTCACAGGTGGGCCCCTGCTTGGGCCGCGTGCCACGCCTTGCGCTACGGCCATCATACTCTAAGGAGGCCGTCAGTCAGGCCTCACCTGGGACGCCATCGGTCAGGCCTCACCTGGGACGCCATCGGTCAGGACTTGGGAGTTAGAAATGCACTATTTGGCCAAAGCCACCTAATAATATAACGTCATTGTGCGTCTGCGTGTTCCCTTAAGGATGACATTTATTTCTGAATAAAATGTTACATTTTCTTTATTTTCCAGCTAGCAGTTTCTGTCTGACTGTTTTTATCTGCCTCTCTCTGCCTGACTGTTTCTTTATGTCTGTATCTTTGTCTGCCTGACTGTTTCTGTATGTCTGTATCTTTGTCTGCCTGACTGTTTCTGTATGTCTGTATCTTTGTCTGCCTGACTGTTTCCATCTGTCTGCATCTCCGCCTGACTATGTCTGTTTGTCTTTCTATCTGCCTGACTGTCTGTCTGCTTGACTGTTTCTGTCTGTCTCTGTCTATCTGCCTCTTTCTGTCTATCATTCTGTTTGTTTGTCTCTTTGTCTTTCCTCATGTCTGTGTCTGTGTCTCTTTGCTTTCCTGTTAGATTGTCTCTGACTACCTGTGTCTGTTGCTCCATATATCTCTGTGTTTATTTTTGTCTGTCTGTATATCTTTTTCTTCCACCTCTGATTTTCAGTATTGCTGGTACATTATGATGAAATTGTGTTCTTATTTATTTATTTTTTCCATCACCCTTTCAGATGGACCAGATGGGGCGCAGTCTCCCAGCACAGAGGAGCCCCCGGTTGCCACGGAAGGCACCGAGGGGAAGGACAATGGATCATAAGGGACCCGGAATGGGGCCCCACCATCTAAGGGGCCCTCTGAGAGAGAATCCTGTTTGAAGAGTATCTGCATCGCTAGGAGGTAGCAGTTGTTTGGTACCTTGGAAGCTGGTTGGACTTGGGGGGCGTGGGGGTCAGCGAGAGCCCAAACCTCTAAAGGGACAGTGATGTGGGAGGGAAGGACTAGACTTTCTTACACTAAAAATGAGAGAGCACACAACTGGACAGAGAAGTGAACATTTTCTAAGAACATGTTTTTTAAATGACAAACAATTCATTTTTATGAAATCACAAAGGAAACAATTTTAGTTCTTAAATGTGTGTGTGTGTTGATATCTGGAGAATTTTTTTGCATTGCTTTTCTAAAAACAACAATCCATTGTATAGTTCAAGCCGAAAGAAACCACACTGGGAGGGTTCTGGAATTTTCTTGTAGGTGGTCCGGTCAGACTTCAAAGTCCTCTCTCGGAAGACGCTGAAAGTATGCAAGCCTTTCGGATTCCAGCTCGACACACGGCTCTCCAGCGGCCGCCTCGCACGGAGAGGCGTCAGGAGAACATTGTGCTTCGGGACTGGCGTGTGCTTCGCGCGGAGGGAGAGGCGAAAGTGCTGCCCATAGCATGAGGGCCGTTCTTTTGAGAATCATGTAGCATATGCCATCGGCTGACCTCTGTTGTGGTGAGATGCCCAGGGTTTCCAAGAGAATCTAAAAAAAAAAAAAAAGTGTGAGGTAAGCTCTTTGTTTGGAAGCGAACCGGGAACATGAATAAATGGCGACAGTTCCTGTATCCCACTGTTCTGAATTCCGAAACGTAATAAGAGAGAGTTCCAATTCCCAGATAACAGCTACAGTGTCACATATTCATGCAGATCTGTCCACGTGTGAACGACACCTGGTGTCAAAAGTTTAAAACAAACAAAAAAAAACCAGCTAAGGCCTTTGGGCCCATGTCCCCTAAATGTGCTCCCACTGTAACTTGCTTTAAGATGCAGGTCTGAGGTCAGATAGCCTGTCAGGCATTTCGGGGCGCCAAGGTATGTAGAACTAGGGCACAGGAGCAGGGGTGGCTGTTGAAGACTGTTCATCTTGCTCTTCCCCACCTAGACTCAGGTCAGAGTTGGAGGACCACAAAACACATTTTAATGAGCTTTAAGGTGGAGCAGGAGTCACTTTTGAACGTAGCATTTTGGTGATGGCTGCCTAGCATGTCCAACCAGACACTTCCCCTGAGTTTTAATGGGTACTTTATTTTCAAGAAATAGAGTCACACATAGTACAAAACAGAAGTCTATGAATTGCTGAGAATTCAGGGTGTTACAAGGATGTCAAGTCAGCAGAAAGTGTTATTTTTTTTTCAAGAACCTTCATAGGTCAATTGCGTTTGAACCTGTACTCGAATCGTAGCACTTCGTCAAGTGAGATCCTAAAGGGCTAAATGTGGTTGACCTTCCAGAACACAATAAAAGCTGTGTCATGTTTAAAAACAAGAATCCAGAGGCTGATGCTTGGATTTACCATTTACCATATAAGGAAAACCCCAGTGAGTAGATGAATGATGTCGTTTGATTTTCTTTGCATTTCTCTGTGAATGCACAGTGTTAAGTGTGATTAAACATAAAGGCCCCAAATCAAAGCATTGTATATAACACACTCCAAGGCTATGCAGCCTGCTCTGACTGTACTTCAATTAATGTATTACATATAACCACGTCAGTGTGTTCTATCTGAAATGTACGTATGTACGGTTTGTCTGTGAGGTGCCTGTTTACCGCTTGTATAATGAAAGCAAGCAAGTTGTGTTCCCAGTGATACCAATAAATTACCTTAGAGAAACTTCACATTACTGATATTACACTAACTTTGTCAGGATAAAAAAGCTGAAAATAGGCCTTTGTATTTTTTTAAATCTGTCATGTATATATTGTAGAATTTATATATAGGGTTACACAATATAACAGAATATATACACAGTGCTGATGTACATTGTGTTGTTTACTAGTGAGCCTACCCTCTGTCCACAATCCAGAGTCTGACTGAAACACAACTGGTTTGTTAAATGTTAGATCATCCTGGGTTGTTTTTAAGCAGGAAATTTTTAAATGACATAAACAGTGACTGTTTAACTACCTTAATCTACATGCAACAGTGAATTCCTCAGTGTCAAACTAGAAAGTGTTATTTATCAAAACTTCAACTATTATAACTGTTATCTGCAGAGTGTGTCAAGAAAGTATGTCAACCTCAATTTATTTAAAGATTTGTAACATATGATTTTTCTCCTGAGATCTTTTCAAAATTTGACCCCTAAGTTCTTCCTATTATCTGACCAAATGTCTTAGGTTTAAAAAGTTCTTACATTTGCTGTTTCTCAAAACACCAGTTTTGTTTATTTTTAGCTTTGCTTTTTTTTTTTGTCTGTAATTTGGCCGATTTTTTTAATGTTTTGATTTCACTCTATTAAAAGAAACATTTTGAGTGGCTTTTATATTGAATTTACTTGTCTGTATTATGCTCTGGTTTTGTTTGATAAATATGAACCTTCAAAGGCTGCCGTATTTCCAGGAGCAGTTGCTGTCGTACGTAGAGTATCCTGTTTGCGGTAAGACAGGGGTTACAGAGTTACAGTAATTGGCACTTTACTGAAGTATCTAACATAAATAGATAAAACCGTGATGCAAATCTAAGCCAATCAAGCTATGGACACGTGCTCCACAAATACAACATATTTGTCATTTGGATATTTATATACTTAGTTTCTGACTTACTAATTTGAAATTCCATTAGTGTGCTGTTCAGTGGGTCGGTCATGTATCTTGTAGACATCAGGATCATCACTGTCATCACTGAAACACTGTCAGGATCCTGCCCTGTCATTATCCTGCCTGGCCAGCAGGTGGCACTGTAGCTAAAGGCCTGAACCTGTAACTCAAAGGTTTGTCTGTCAAGGAAAAACACTTGAGACCTTTTTACATGGCACCCATGTATCTCTGATACCTCAACTGCATAAATGCCTAAATATGTAAGTTACTTTTCAATTAAAGCTTTAGCTACACAAAGTGCAAATAGTGTGTTAATCAAGAGGCACCAAGCATGAATACAGACACATAATCAGTAATTCATTAAATCTTGCAAAGTACTGCTACCTGTAAAACAGAAAAATGTTACTCTATAATAAATGAGAAAAATAACATTCTAAAAAATATATTGTTACATATCGATATATGCATGTGCTACTTGTGTTACGAGGAAATATAAGGGTATATACCTGTACCCTGGAAGGATTAACCAAATTGTTGGGGTAGTTTGCAGCAGAACTATGACTACGGACACAAACTTGACTGGTGAGCTCTGGCAGCAGTCAGTCGGTCAGTTCACATATTTAACACTAGGTGGAGACATTCTTTGTATTAAACCCCATCCCAGATCCTCAGGCTGTGAGTTGTTTGTGTAGACAGCAGAGAATAAATGACTTGAGGTTTTGGCAATTCTGGTATATAAAACAAGTTTCACTGAGACATACACTCAGTGTGTGAAATACGGGGCCCCGATTAACCCATGAGACCCCCTGAAAGCCTCAAAAGCAAAATTTTAAGGGGTTCTCAAGATTGGTATTGCACAACAATAGGGAGATGGGGACCCCCACGAATATTGACAGGTATTTCGCACACTGCATACACTGGTATGTATCTTTGAGTAACCACTACTAGCTGCTATCACGCAATAGGTGGCACATGATGATTTTTGGTTGTTCCTTAGCTATACATTTCCTACATCCAATTATGGGGGCTGTTGTTGCATTAAAATAACTACTAACTAAGTGATTCAATTGTGCTGAGGTGATTCTGCATGCTTAGTAACATGCCATAACGTGGCCAGTCAGGGGTCAAGAGGATGATCATTTGGTGCCCCAGACAAGATCCTGTGGTGTAGATCACGCCCAATATTGCTGACGTGTTTGCCTGTTCATCACGAGATTTGGCAAAACCCTACTATGGTTGTTAACCCAATTCTTACATCCCCTTAGCCAGTCCACATTTTTGTTCCGTTCCATCAGGTACACAGACTGAATTTACCTGTCAGCTGATTATAAGGCTTGTTAATACCTGATTCAGGAATGCAGCGGGTGGAACTCCACAAAAGCAGTACAATGACTCGGGGTTCTGGAGACTGGCTCCTGTAGAACCACTAATCTACTCTAAAATCCAAATTTACCTACAAGCAGGTATGGAAAATGGATGGACAGCCATGTCAAAAATGACACATATTCATTTCTTTATCTAAATACAACTTGAAACATTATAGCAATAGATGATACTTTGACCTACAGTCAAGCACTCATTTTCAATATGACTCGCTTTTCGACATTAATATGTAGTTTGAATAGCAGGTTTTACCATTCGACTAATGAAAGATCTAGTTAGCAAGTGAAAAACAGGCGAACCCCGGGGTCATTTCAGGTCACTCACCAATGGCAAGCTGGGACTAATTAAAATGGGGGGGGGGGATCACTGGAGAGCTGGTGCTTTGGTGCCTGGCTGGGGAACACGGCCTGACTCTTAGGCCTCAGCTGAAGTGTCCTCAGTGGTGTGGTGCTACCAGGCAGGCTGAGTGAGCCCATCTGTTTGATTGAGTGGAGATGTAGCGAGAGGCTGTTTCAATATGCCAGGACGTCTGCCCATCTGCCACGCTCTGGCTCCTGCCGCGCGGAGGACCGATAATCCGCAGCTTCCTCCGCTTCCGGCAACTATCCCTGCTCCGCTCTTCTTTTCAGAGAACAGCAGTGATGCTGCAGTTTGCCACAGTTGCTTCTTGATTAGCAACAATTCTGTGCTGGGGCTTCTCAAACAGTGCTACACATCTACACCCTACACATCTCCGATTACCCAGCTTATTTGAATATTTTGAATCCCATATTTTGTTACAAAGCCCACCTGGAGCTCCTCTTTTTAACTGAATGAAGTCAACATATTGTACAGTGATGGATATAAGACATTTTAAAATAGCTCTAGTTACAGCTGAAACCAAAATCTTCCTGTTAAACAAAACTTCTGAGGCACCGTATGTGCGCACAGATTTTAAAAGCTGAATGAAGGACGCTCACCTGCTGGTGTTACAGCTTGGCAGTTAGTGAGGGACCAGCCAGGGCTGATGAGCCAGCATGTCTCCCAGTCCTCCCAGTCCCCTGTCAGAGTGAAAGATCCGAGATTCCTTATTGTCATCTCACCATATAAGGAAACATGTGCAAAAACACCTGGGATGAAGATAACTGATGAGGAGTGGGCGGGGCTTAACAATTACAGCCAACACCCCAGCTGGAATGTTTTCTCCGACAAAGCATCAGCCTGACTTTGTGTCTGCCTCCGTCATCGTCGCTATGGAGACCACAGAACCTAGCTCGTTGTTCTCACCCAGATGGAAAGTGAGCGGCGATACCCCACCCCAGCCTAAGACCCACCCCAGCCCCTTACACCCAAACTATAAGTAAGGGTAAATCCATCCAAATCACAAATAACTAGTCTCTCAGGTAACTTGTCATTAATGAAAGCTTTAATCTACCAGTAGTGTACCCGGAAACACAATTTCTGTGTTGCATAAAAATACAGACCCCCATGGAAATCCTTGGGGACTGTGAGGCGGGGGCAGTTTGGTGCTTAAACCAAGCTGACATCAAGTCCTAAAAATAACCTGCTTAATTTCTGTATCACATCAGTAGCTGCTGTGCATTATAAACTGCACTGCCGCTGACAGGAGAGTCTGACAAAAAGCTGACCTTTCCCAAGCCAAAGACCCCGAGTTATTCTAATCACCAAGGGGGCGGAGAGCAGCCACATTCCGGAACACTGCAAATCAGCTGTGCAACCACGGTGACGGGGGCGGAGCCACGGAGGGAATCACTGGCAAACGGGCATCCATCGTGGAAAACGGGAGGGGAACGGACTTGGGAGGAGGGTAACATATGAATCATGGGAGCTGGAGCCTGCAAAAGTACTCAGACACATGGGTGACCATATCGGCCTATTCGGGAGTGGGAGAAAGAAGGAGAGAGGGAGAGAGAGAGGGGAAGAGAAAGAGAGAGATGGAAAATGGACAGAAAAAGAATCAGGAGCCCAGACTGGGTCAGGCAGATGGACAAACCGGTCCACACCCAGGGGCTGGTTGATGGCAAAGAGATCCAAGGGAGAGGGTCTTTGCAGCCGGCCTGCGATCGCAGTCTGATCAGTGTGTGTGGAAGGAGAGCTGACAGCCACGTCTATTCAGGGAGAAGGTGCAGCTTCACTGATGGTGCAGCTTCACCACAGACAAATACACACTCTGTGGCCACCTCTTTAATTATCTGCTTCCGGGCAGGATCTAGAACCTCCTTGAAGGTAAATGAGGTATTCAGCACATCACTGCCATACTGACTTGTACTAAATTTTAACTTTAAAATGTCTGCCCATTCTCCTCTGGCCTCTGTCATTGACAATCTTCTGGCCACAGAAATGCCATCGACTTGATTTTTTGATCATCACACCATTCTCCATAAATTCTGGACACTGTGGTGTGTGAAATGGCTATTTCTGAGGTGCAAGAACCGCGTGGCACCAATAATCACACCGCTTCTTATCTGCTGCATTGCTTTTTGAACTTTGAGTGGGACTCAAATTACAGCCACATGATTCTCTGTCTGGAGAACGAGGCAGTGTGCATTTAGCAGGTGTACATAATAAACCCTCTACCAGATTACTGGGGATTTTCTGAATAGAAACACTCATACATCAGCATATGGTACTTTGAGTGAGTGCACCGATGATCTCAGAAGACGTGCAGCCCCAGGATAACCTGCCTCTCTTCTAGGAAACCCGGGTGACACTGAGAGGATGATGTCAGCACCTTCACATTCTTGTCAGAACTGCTGATGTCACTAAAAATCCTCAGTCATGCATCCATGAATGTCTCTTTTGCTCTTTGTTTCCTGTTCCAATATGGGTCGTATCTGGAGTCAGTGTCAGGCTGGATATGCCTCTCAGCACAGTATTATTCCCAAAATGAAAAAACATATGAGAATGCAATTCACTCAATTTCCCGCTTCTCTGATCTCTGAGCTCCTTATCCTTTTGAAGATTTTCCTATTGTGTTTTTCAGGCAGGCAAAATAATGACATTACAGGAATGAAGATATTCTGATTGGCCAACACATCCAGTTCTCTAAGTGTTTCACATACCCTTTATGAGCAGCATTTTTATATGATTGGCTGTCACATGAATCAATTAGACATTTTATGGCAACTTGAATAAACCACATGTTTTGTCTTTGATGCTTTATAAGCTCCATCTGTTTTCCCTGGGACTGGCACAGTGTGGTGAGTAAGCAAACAGCAGTCCTCCACTGATCACACAATAATCCCAGCCGGAAGACAATCAGTTACCCTCATTGGGCCGCAGGGAGTCTTTCATTAGGCAGGTCCCAATCAGTTGAAGATATATGGCAGCCAGATGCAGAACGTAAGTCATTCATGACTTACGTTCTGCTACCTGAAGGCATCGCCTTGGGAGAGAAACAGACCACAGAAGGATTCTGGGGCCAAAAAAGCCTGCTGGGAGGTTTAGATGACCAATGGCAAGTTGACTAGCTACCACATTGTTCTGGGTAATGGAGTTCTGGAAGGGTAAATTCTTATGAAAAGTTCAATAGCTGTATCTTAAACTCAGGATTACACTGAGGTCTTCAAAAACCAAATCAAGTCAGTTCCCCAAATAACTGTTAGGTGTCTAGCCTAGTTGGGCACCACTGCCCATATTCAGAAAATATGATCTTAAATCGGGCTTCCCCAATTCCAATCCAAGAAGGCCAGTCTACGACACAGTTTGCGGATTAACATGCTCAAACAAACCTCATTCAGCTGACAAGCCAATTGCCTGGTTCGATATACAGTGAGGTCAATAAGTATTTGATCACCCTGTGATTTTGCAAGTTCTCTTACTTAGAAATCATGGAGGGGTCTACAATTTTCAGCATAGGTGCATTTCCACTGTGAGAGACAGAATCTAAATAAAAAAATCCGGAAATCACATTGTATGATTTTTTAACAATTTATTTGTGAATTACTGTGTCAAATAAGTATTTGATCACCCTGTGATTTTGCAAGTTCTCTTACTTAGAAATCATGGAGGGGTCTACAATTTTCAGCATAGGTGCATTTCCACTGTGAGAGACAGAATCTAAATAAAAAAATCCGGAAATCACATTGTATGATTTTTTAACAATTTATTTGTGAATTACTGTGTCAAATAAGTATTTGATCACCCTGTGATTTTGCAAGTTCTCTTACTTAGAAATCATGGAGGGGTCTACAATTTTCAGCATAGGTGCATTTCCACTGTGAGAGACAGAATCTAAATAAAAAAATCCGGAAATC